GCCACAGCTGGGCAGCGCCAGAGCAGGGTGGGGTCCGCCCCCCGACACCCTCCCCCCCGGCAAGCTTCCCCCCCCCTCCTCTGCTGCTGCGTGAAACCCCGCAAACGTGTGTGTGGGTGGAGGGGAACGGGCTGTGCACAAAACACCAAATGCACAACATAGCCAGCAATGGCTCTCTCGACTTGCGATTTGATGTGTGTCTTCAGGTGATTGGAGTCACTTTAGGTTAGAACAGCGACTGCCAGGGAGTAGGGTGAGGGGTGCATTTACTAGTGGGCTAGGAAGTGTCTAAGTGTAATGTCTGCAGGCTGGATTGAGCCTAGGACTTTAGGGGTTAAAAGCTATGAGCCTCTACTGCATGAGCTGAAAGCCAACTGGCTCTTAGCTGATCCTGTAGAACAGACTTTACTCTCTCTAGTGGTCTCGGAGCCTTTGGGGTTACCTAAGGATGTGTCTGTTCAACCAGCTGTTAGGAACAAGTCTGTTGACATAGTCCTGTTGGTAAAAGTCAGCATGTATGAATGCTGTTTGCACTTTTGCTGACAAAATTCTTCTTCCCTCTATGAGCAGCTTTTGTTTTCTGGACAGGAAAGTGTTCTTGCCGACAAAGCAGGATTCACAGGTACGCTTGCTGAGGCAAAACTGATTCGGGAGAGGGAGAATGTTAAGCACCCTCAATGATAAAAGCTTAGTCAAGCAAGTCCAAGTGTAGACACAACCTCAGTTTAGGTTTTGCAATTGCTCTCCAAACAGCTGTTCAAACAGACGTGCCTTCAAGTGATTGGAGTCGCTTTAGATTAGAACGGTGACTGCCTCAGAGTGGGGTGGGGAGAGGATTTGCTGGTGACGCCAGTCCTTTCCTTTAGGAAGTGTCATCGAGAAGGACATAGCTGCAGCTGTGCTTCTAAAGCACGGATATACCCTCAGCAGCCGCATCATGGTCTGTCTCGGGGCAAGGGGGCGAGGAGGGGGAGAGATGCAGAGAACTCAGTAAAAGTTAGAATGACTGCAGTAGGTCACACTTCCTTGCTGTCTTTCTGCTTGTCACATACTGAGCATGTTTTTCTCATGAGTCATGGATGCTAGGTACACCTTTGTCACACCCACATAAATGGAATGACACTGCTTGCACTACATGATTTTCTGAATTGTGCGGTTTATGGGGAATTCATTCACGGTCAAAGGACCCAAAATTCACACCTTATTTGAAAAGGCTTTAATCCAATGTGTGCAAATGTGGGCAGACTGTTAATGCCCATATAATGGACCATCTGTTCTTGGGCTAAAGCACTGTTTAACGTGCATGCACAGGGCTTTCTTACATTTGTATGGACTGACTCTTAATGTGAATGTTCACTTTAGCACCTCAGCCATGAAATGCCCAGTTGAGATGAGAAAGTTACAGGGCGCCCAGCAATCTCCATCTGGAGGAAGCTGAAGTGATAGGGCACTTTGTAGGATATAGGATTCTGCCTGGTCTGCTAGTATTCCCAGGGCTAGTACAAGACACTCAGGGTACAGCAGCCATGTGAATTTCAGTGGTTCTCATGTGCAGGGCTTAACAATTAGTGTAATCATGGGCGAGTAGATTACAAGCCGGCACAGCCGTGCAATGCGGTCTGTGCATGCGTAATGGGCCGAACCGTGTGGCTGGCGCGCGGGGCTCGCCCCCACTTGATGAGCCCTGCTCATGTGGGTTGTGACTAGGAATGTGAAAGATTAACGGGTTAACCTGTGGTGGCTGGAGCAGCTCCCTGAC